AGAAAAAACATCTAAAAAATTGAAAAAAGATTAGTAAAGAACTAAAAACATCAAAACCAAATCCACAGTGAAAAAACGCATATAACCACTTATAAGAACGCCAGAAAAGAATACAAAGCTATTCCACAAAAATGCCAGAGAAACACGTAAATTCACAAGAACGCCAGAGAAATCCTACAAAAAAGTTGGGATGCACGCAAGACCACCCCACAAGAATATTCTGCAAGACCACCCCACAAGTCACCAGCGATGCAAAATCAATTCACGAAATCTAATGGCGGCACCAAACCAACAATGACAACAACACCAGCGATGACAACGACACCAATGATGATACTAGCGACGACAAGACACCAGCGACTACAAGGCACCAGTGACGACAAGACACCAATGACACAACAGCGAAAAGTGGCAAGCTAAAAAAAAATAAATAACAAGCAAAAAAAAAACCAAAATACGGTAATAAAAAAAAAACAATGATTATCAATCTTTGATAATCATTGTTTATATAGAGGGGTGCAGGATGAACTGAACCGACCCCTGATCCGGCATTGGTATGCCGGGTGGGAGATGTATCTCTTGTGAGAGATATATCTCCCGCGAGAGATGCCTATAATTTCCCTTTCTTGAATACTATATTTTTATAAATCATTGTATATTGATTTTTACAATTGTTATATTGTTTGACTAATCATACAATATAATATCAGATTTTTGACATTTATGCAATATCGATATTGATTTTTAGGACCAACTTTTTATAAAATAACTAATAATAAATTGAAATTTATTGTTATAGTTAGACTTTCAAATATAGAAGACTTGTATTCTATAAATAGCAAATAATATTTATTAGCACTTAGAATAAATTAGTAGTGTTTGGTGATACTCTTTATTGCTTTTTTTGTAAATTTTATTGTTTGCTTTTGGTAATTGATTTTTTTGTTTTAACTTTTTTGGGTAATTTTGGGTTTCATAAATTTCTACTAATTGTGAAAAGGGTATCTCTAGCACTAGCACTATTCGCTTTCGAAATGCTTCGATGTGCTGCTTTTATCGCTATTGCTATCACTAGCGCTAGTGCTCAAATTTTTTTGCTTTTTGAACAGATATTGATTATATATCAAAAAATAATTACTATGTAGTTACTGAAACAGAGGCTTATTAATGCCAAGTAAATATGTATTGATCTACAAATTGTATAAATTATTGGAGTATCAAATACAAACATTATTTGGGTTCTTTCACAATAAATCAGGGCTTAGAGCTAAATTTTTTATATGTAAATATCAATGTTTAATCATTAACTTTTATATATATCAACATATTATCATTTTTAACTACACAAGAAATTATATAAAATTGTAATATGTTAATGTTTACCAAAGTTTTTGTCACGGATAATGTATACACTTAGGAATATAGCTTAATAAAAATCTCAATTATGGTTAGAACCCT